TGTACCACATTTTTTTAATCCAGTCCTCTTTTGATGGACACCATAGTTGCTTCCAGGTTCTTGCTATTGTGAACAATGCTGCGATAAACATACGTGTGCAGGTATCTTTTTGATAGAGTGATTTGAGTTCTTCAGGGTATATTCCCAGTAGGGGGATCGTGGGATCATATGGGAGGTCGACATTTAGAGCTTTTAGGAATCGCCACACTGCTTTCCATAGAGGTTGCACTAGTTTACACTCCCACCAACAGTGTAGAAGTGTTCCCTTTTCACCACATCCTCTCCAGCATCTCTTATTTTTTGAGTTATTGATAATGGCCATTCTGACTGGAATTAGGTGGTATCTCAGTGTAGTTTTAATTTGCATCTCCTTGATGATTAGTGAGGCAGAACATTTCTTCAGGTGTTTGTTGGTCGCTCGTATGTCTTCTTTTGTGAAGTGTCTGTTCATATCCTTTGCCCACTTCGTAATGGGGTTGCTTGTTTTTTTCTTTTTAGCACGTTTGAGTTCCTTGTAGATCCTTTGTCAGACATGGAGTTGGCAAATACTTTTTCCCAGTCTGTGGGCTGTGTCCCTGCTCTCTTGATGGTTTTTTTGGCTTTGCAGAAGCTTGTTGGTTTAATGGGGTCCCACTTTTTCCAAGAACATCTTTTTGGGTGCATCTATTTTCTCTACTCTATTTTGCTGCCTATCTCATTTATTTCCTCTCTAATATTTATTGTTTCCTTTCTGGTGCTTGTTTGTGTTGGTTTGCTTTTTTTAGTTTCTAAATCTTGAAGGTTAGGTTATTATTGATTTGAGATTTCTCCTTTTTAATGTAGACATTTACAGCTCTAAACTTCTGAATGCGGTTCTTGCTGTATTCCATAACTTCTGCTTTATTGCATTTTTGTTTTTGTTCAATTCAAAGTATTTTCTGGTTTCTGTTGTGATTACTCCTCTAACCCACTGGTTATTGTTATGCAATGAATTGTGCCTCCTCCAAAATTCACATGTTGATGTCCTAGCCTCCGGTACCTCAGACTGAGACTGTATTTGGAGATAGGGCCTTTAAATAGGTCGTGAAGTTAAAATGAGGTCATTAATCCAATCTGACTTGTGTCCGTATGAGTAGAGGAGATTGGGCACACAAAAAGAGACAGTTTGTGTGAATATGCAAAGAGACATGACCATGTGAAGAGGCAGCAAGTGGACAGTCACCTGCCAGCCAAGGACAGAGGCCTCAGAAAAAACCAACCCCGCTGGTACCTTAGTTTTCAATTTGTAGTCTCCAGAAGTGTAAGAAAATAAATATCTATCAGTCAGTAATATTTTGTTATGGACGCCTTAGCAAATGAATTCACTTCCTTAGGAATATATTGTGTAATTTCTATATTTTTGCAAATTTCCCAAATTTTGTTCTTGGCTTGTCAATTCATTCCATACTGGTCAGAGAACATGCTTTGTATGAGTGCAATCCTTTTGAATATTTTCAAGTTCATTGAGGGGTGTTTTGTGGTCTAACATATGGAGAAAAAAATATATCCTGGAGAAGCTTCTATGTACACCTGAAAAGACTACTTATTGTGATGGTTTGAGGTGGGGTGTTCGATAGATGTCTGTAAGATCCAGTTATTTTAGAGTGTTGTTCTAGTTTTCTCTTCCCATATTGATCTTTTGTCTCATCTATCCATTTTTGAAGGCGAGGTGAATAAATCTGCTGGGGCTACCATGGACTGGGTAGCTTAAACAACAGAAATTTATCTTCTCACAGTCCTGGAGGCCAGGAGAACCAGGTGAAGGGGCCCGAAAATGTGTTTTCTTGTGATGGCCTCTTCTCTGTGAGCGTGCAGAGATCTCTCATGTCTCTTCCTCTTCTTGTAAGGACACTGATCCTATGGAAAGAGGGCTCTACCCCTGTGATTTCACCTTAAGTGCCTCCCTGATGACTCTAACTACAAATATAGTCACATTGGGGGTTGAGATTTCAACATATGAATTTGGGAGGAGCAGACAAAAGTCAGTCCACAACATGGGGTATTGGAGTTCCTAACTACTATTGTAGAACTGCCTACTTCTTGACTTCTCCCAAGGCCAAAGGTACAGAAGTTGGTGCTTCCGGAGAGTGGTTCAGACGAGAATCGCTCCAGCAAGGGAGAGACTTGTTGGTGAGAGCCTTACACAGGGACCCAGTGGGCAGCTCACTGGCCCTTACTTCTGTGCCCTGGTCCATGGTGGTCTCTCACTGGCAGTACAGAGCCTTCCCTTCCCCAGCCCATGTTTGAGGGTCTCCCCTCAGGCTAACTTCTGTGAACCTGAGCTGTCTCTGCTCCATGTCCTCAGGCTAAAGGACCCGGTTGCATGGCGGGGAGGCAGGTGTGTGTGGAAGAGACCCAGGACATGGCCCATACTCAGGCTGACCTGTCAGTGGCCAGAGCTTAGGAATTTCAGAGAGGAAACTAGGAATTTAAATTCAAGACATAGAGCTAAGAACAACAACAACAACAGACCACAGAAAACTAGGATTCTTTGCCACCTGCAATTTTGCTGCTTCATGAGAGCTTGTCTTTCAAGCAGTCAAATATTGGAATCCTGTGTCTTCAAAAGCCCAGAGAGATGCCCCTTGGAGGCAAAGTTCCTATCAGTGGCTCTGGTTACATGAACTGTCAGATTTACCTTTCAGTATCACATTCCCCTGAACTTCTTGATTGTTTATATTTGGGAGGGGGTGGATGCATTGTTTCCTCTCAGCCCTGCTTTGGAAATCGAGTCCTGGTGAAGGGTATCCAGTGGAAGGATGAGAAGTTGAGAGAGGAGGGGATGCAGGTTATGTTCTCAGGCAGGGCCTCTCTCCCATGGATGGCACTGTTGGCATATGGGGCTGGCCCATGCTTTGTGTGGTGGGGGAGAGGCTGCCCTGAGCATCGCAGGTGGTTCAGCAGCATCCCTGGCTTCTTCCTACCTATTAGACGCCAGGAGCACCACCCCTGTCGTGACAACCAGAAAGAACTCTGGATTTTTTTTTTCCATGGGGGCATGGAAAACATTTTATTTATTTATTTCACTTTAATTAAGATGACTTTTAATTTACAAAATTTCTCATTTCAATGTGATAAAGTGCATCAGATGTTTCCTGTAGTATTTCAAATCGTGTGTTTCGTTACAGAAACTTGTTTATCCCAGGGTTAAAAGAGAATTCTTTCATATGTTATCCTGCGGAAATTGAAACTTGTTGAGATTCCAGATATATGTCATCCTTAGATAACTAACCCTTGACAGACTGTGTACCTCAGTGCTATTTAGAAGACAAACTGGATAATGAATCTTCTTAATCATTGTAAAACATAATCCTCACATGTATTGCTGCCTTTCCTTAATCCAATAAAAAAGAAATTACATGAATACAAGAAGCAGCATTGTGCTGTAGGATTAATTATTCTCAGATACCAAGATAAAAGTAGGAAGAGTCTGGCTGCAAAGCAGATGAAAGAGTTCAATCAAATCTTTGCATTGGCTAAGATCAGAAAATAACTCTAGATGCTTTTCAGAAAAGCAAATAACTCGATATCCGCTTTTGACAATCTGCATCTTTCTATACAGGTTGACGGGCAGGCAAGGATCACACAGGTTTGTAGGAAAGTGATTTTTAGCACCATTTCTATATGATACCAACTCAGTAGGCACATTAAGTCCAAGAGAGAGATGAGGCACTGGACTTCTTGAGAGTTAAGGAGCTCACACTTGATGGATCTTGGAGAGGAGACGAGCAGTCATGGGTGAAGGAGCATGGGTTTATAAGTGAGCAGGCCGAGGCAAACCATTGCTAGACTCTGGATGTATCCACCCCAACATTACCACTGTCTTCTCGATGCTCTTCGCTTTCAGGGGACTCTGCCACCTACTGTCAAATTTAAAATGAAGGAGAGGGAGGCCTTTGGTTTTGGAGTATCGGTGTTCGGGCTCTCTCCACGGCCTGATATCAGGGTTCTTTGGGAGACTCTGCACGATTGCAAATACGGCAAGAACTTGAAAGTTCATCCTATGACCACTCAGACAAACCACTCTTTAAAGGAGCTCATCAGTGACAGCATGTGATCCAAGAGAGTCAATCCCAGGTGACCATAAAAAAGTTGCTTTCGTAGCTGAAACAGGACCTCCTGTAAAAACTGGCTCCAAGAAAAAGAAAGAAAAATGGGGGCAGAGGGAAGAGGGAAAGAAGAAAGAAGTCATCACCAGATCCAGTAGCTGGCATAAAAACCAAACCCAAATCCTGTAACCCAGACAGCAACGAACACCCTCTCAGCTGAAAACCCCTAGGACTCCCTGGAAGTGTCTGTCACCTCCACCTCAAATGATAAAGGCACTTTTAGTCCAATTACAAAGTGAGGCTTGAGTTCCTCTGAATGGAAGATAAAGACCCTGTTTTATAAAAGTGTCATCACAACAAGGAATGGCCAGGAACACAGTGTCACTGTGAACATTCAACTAGCAATGCTTATACCGATGTGTACTTAGCAAGTATTTCTAGGTAACTTTCCTTTTCTGGGTTATGAGAGTGTCTTTTGTTTTTTGTTTGTTTGTTTGTTAATGGATAGGTAGTTGCATAGTGCTGGGGTACATGTGATAATTTGATACAAGAATGTGTAACAATAAATCCGTGTGATTGGGACACCCATCACCTCAAACACCTAGCACTTTCTTGTGTTGGGAACATTGCAAATCTTCTACCTACTCTGAAATGCACAATAACTTATTGCTAACTGGAGCCACCCTATTGTGAGTGGAGCCCGGATGTCGGAGGGGCTTCATGAACCCCAGGAGCTACATGAGTATCTACTGGGTACCTGCACGATGCCAGGGAGGGATGTGACCCTAAGTCTTCCCCATGTAGACAAAAGATGTCTGAGCGGGGTACTCAACCACAAAGAAACATGGCAGAGATCGGGAACATTTTTGTGAATAGAGTCACTCATTTTCGGACACGTTTATTGACAAGCATGTTTTGGCCAAACGCTTGCCTTTAAGTGCTGTGGGCTGAACAGTCTGGGGACGCCTGGGGCCCAGCAGTAGCTGGTGTGAATTCTGATACCCAGTGACAATTGGGACAGCGATGGAACAGAGGGGGGGCATGAGGGATCATGGCGAAGAGGCCAGCAGGCCCAGCAGCCATAACGGACACTGGCATCCAGGGGTGGCAGAAGGGTAGAACCCCAGGGGGCATGGCAGGATGGTCCGCCATAGGCTCGTTGGAGGGAATCTGGGTAGGGGGCAGGGTGAAACAGACAAAGAGGTGGTCTTCAGGCGCACGGACGTCTGCCCGCAGAGTCCCGTGAGCCTGGCTGCACTCTGGCTGCCCGCCGGATGGCTGGATTACTGGAGCTTCCCCGTTCATCACGGTGGGCCCCGGTGCCGTCATGGGAACTACTGGTGGAGCAGAAGCACTCCTGAGTTGGGCGGCGCGACCATGATGTACCTGGTTCTTCGGTATCTCCTGGCTATCCTCATTTGGAGACGTGCAATCATCTTGTTGCTCCATGGCCACAGATGCCAGATGGGATTCCGCAACTTCTGGCTTGCTCCCCACGGGTTTTGATGTTGACTTCTGGGCCACTCTTCTCTTCAGCCTCACCAGGAGGTGAGGGGAGTCTCTTTGGAAGTAGGGATTGTGGAAGAACTGTATCTGCCATTCAAAGCGTCAAAGAAAAGGAAACTCCCAGTCACAAGTGTGGGCTGCAACTGCTAACCATCTACATTCTGTGCAAGACAACTTTAGCGGCCCTGGGAGGCCTTTGTGGCAACGATCACAGGCCCCAAAGGAAGCTGGACCAGGTTTTACATCTTCAAGATTCACCAGTTTATATTGGGTGTTTCTCCCTTGGAAAATGCTTCAAAATAGCAAATTAGAGCATGCACAAGGCCCGCGAAAAGGGACTCTGAAGTTGCAGACTGAAAGCGTCTTCTCCAAATGTTGGGGGGGGGGGACACTGGTATTGTAAGGGGAAAGGACCCTCACATCTGCCTACATTGCTGTGTAAAGCATTCTGGAGTCACGGGGACACATGAACTGCCAGGTGACATTATTGTCCCTGAATAGGAGAACATGCAGGCAGTGACTTAACAGCTGTGATCTTTTATGGACTCAAGATGGGCGTTCTCCCGGTAGGAACTCTTGGTTAATGTCCTCACCACCCGAAGGGAGACACAGGCACGGGAATAGTCCCATACCCCACCCGGGGTCACCCACTAACCACGAGGTAGTCCTGGGAATTACACGTGACCCAGCCCCAGAGCCCACCGACTTAGCCCCTTGAGCGGCTTGTCCCCCATTTACCTTGTCTGGTCTTTTTGCAGTGGATGAGTTGGTGAAGCTGAGGGAGGGGTGGCGTGGGTGCTTCCTGCTGAAACCATAGAGTTGCAGCTGGCGGAAAAAGCTCTTCATTCGCCCCGACTCAAACACTTTGTTGGGACTGGTCCTATCCAGAATCTCCTTTTGGAACAGGCTTTCATTGATCCCTATACAAGTCCCGTCGTCATCCCACCAAATCGATGAAAACTGACTACTGTTGACAAGTCTCCACAGCTTCCTGGGGAAGGGGAGGGAGATGAGATCGCCCTCTCCCCCGGGGGGGACGTCACAGTCAGGGTGCAGCCTTCCAACATTCTCCTGGGTCAGAGCCTGGAAAGCAATGTCATTAAGCAGCAGCCTGAAGTCGGGGTACCCGGCTGACACAGAGTAGCCCCAGGCGTGGGACGGGCCTGCCGGATACAGGTCAATCGCTGGGTCCCTTGGGGAAGCCCTGGGATCTGGAGGGAAGGGTGTCGTTTCGAAGCCATGGCCCTGGCCTCTCGAATCGCTGTCCCCACATGCAGCCATCCTCAGGGATGGTCTCTCCCTCGTTCATGTGAACCTGGGAGTGCTGCGAGGCCGCTGCACTCCGTAGTGATGCCTGGACATCACAGTGGGGTTCAGGTTGCCCAGCAGTGACATCACAGCACACCCAGCAAGTGACCTCAGGAGGGGCCAGGCAGATGAGTGACCTGTCAGCAAGTCAACATCTGGGTCCACACAGTCATTTCATTAATCAGTATTTTTTATTATGGTTTTGTGGGGTACAGTTAAGGGTTAGGTGTACAATGACGTTTCATT